AGTCCGTTTCCATGTCTCCACCCCTGCCTGTTAGCCCAAACCACATATACAGTACCCTCCAATCAACTCACTCCCTACTGCCAAATTATTCATTCAACACAATACAATTAACCCACTTCCTACTAGATACAATTAACCCCCTTCCTACTAAATCAATACAACCCGTCTTTAGCTAGTGACTGATGGCTCTGCATATCCCTATCCACTGCTTCTTATACAGCTAACACAGTGCCTCCCAAAATATGGGCTACAACCAGTCTCACTCACCATCCTCAATATAAGATGGGAGGCCCATTATAGCCACTTAATAAAAACTCCCTCACCGATTTTCACATCACTGACTTGGCAAAATGAACACAGACAGGTCATGCAGCCTGGCTCCTTCAATCTTACATCACTGGCCTTTCTCTATATGAGGGTAAAGGTAAACCTATATTCGGACCTATAGCCTCCCAACATTATCGTGAGCTCTCAAGCCCCACTTTGCCTTCAATGTAACTTGTCCATGGGCTCCACATTGAGATATCATTCTCCTCAAAAGTGCAATTACACAGTACAATTACAGGCTTTATCAGGTCATGCTAATTATAAGGTTATCCAAGATGCTCCCTTTACTCAGCCTGTCCACTTCACTACTGTTCCAAAACTTATAATATAAAACTTATCAAACTTCTCAATAAAAATTCGGGGTTTTGCAATGGTCGTCATATGCCATGCATGGCTTTACATCCCTGGACCCCTTACAATGTAGCCCCCTCTGTTTCAGAATGCCTTCCTACACCAACATTTAACCACTTTCCAGAATGGCTATTGGTGGATACTGAGAGATTCTTCCTTCTGTGGAGAATAAAACTAACAATGCCCAACAGATCTCACACTACAAACCTTTTCAAACATTAACAGGTGCTACATTGGAACACTAGGAATATGGGAAAAAGAAAATAGCAAACTCACACCTCTTTTTAATACATACAACCAATTCTGTCTACCTAGTCAAGGTGTCTTCTTCCTTTGTGGAACAACTTCAGCTTTCCTGTGGTTCCCAGCTAACTGGACTGGAACCTGCATACTAGTCTACCTTAGCCCAAACACTGATAAAGCCCCAAACAATCAAACCTTATCAGTGCCAATAAAGTCACAGATTAGACACCCATGAGCAGTCCAACCTCCACTCATAGGTCTGGGCATTATCACTGCCATAGGGACTGGAATTGGGGGCATGGCTACCTCATTAACTTATTTTCAAACTCTATCCAAAGATGTGAGTGATAGCCTAAAAGACATAGCCAAATCAATCCTATCTTTACAAAGCCAAATGGACTCCTTAGTAGCTGTCACTCTCCAAAATAGAAGAGAAGAGAAGGATGTCTTTTCCCGGCGGAAGAATGATGTTGCTATACAAACCAATCAGGCATAGTACAAGATGCAGCAGAGACTCACTGAAAGAGCCTCCAGTATCAATCAACGCATATCTAACTGGGCTACTGGAAACTTCTTTTCTGTAAATAATTGGTTGCCCTGGCTCCTTCCTCTCATGGGGCCATTAGTCACTATTTTTCTTATTCTGCTTTTTGGACCCTGTCTGTTTCACTGTTTTCAAAACTTTTTGCAGGAATGCATGAGGATGTTTACCAACCAGACAGTCACAGAATTTGTCATGGTGGGGTACCAGCCGCTGCAGCAGAGGGTAAAAGCCCTCACCTGCCAATGCCCCCATAAGGTCCAGGTTTAGACCCAATCTTCACCCCTTTGTCAGCTTGAAACAGTTCCAGAAGAAAAGAACTTCACCCAAAAACCATAAAACAAAAGTCTGGAATGTCATATTTTCCTTGCCTCAAAGATGGCTGCTACATAAAACAGTAGCCTCCTTCCCATAATGCTCTGAGCCTTAAAATGGCTGCCACATGGAATAGCAAACTCCATGTTAAATATGGCTTCTCTTACCAAGGGACAGCCTTCCTCCCATCATGTCTCTCTTCTGCCAAAAGAGTGACCTGATACTTGCTACCTCCCAGTAACCAGTGATGTCAAAAGCCCCTCCTAGTTATGTCACAGGCTCCTCCAATCACTGTAGCTCAATGATAGAATGCTTGCCTTAATGCTACCTCACTCAACTCCACCCCAGCTCAGGTTAACCCCACCCCGCTCCTATAAAAGAAGCTCCCTGTTCCTCCATGCTGCTTTTCCTTTGTTAGGAGACAGCCTAGCAGATCCTCCCCACAATAAAGGTTGTAGTCCTGGTCTGTAGTCCTGGCCTTTTGGCTCTTTCACCTAACACGCCCCACACAAACCTACAGAACGTTATTTCTATGGAGCCAGTCCTTCTAGTTCCACTACCTGAAAGCTGGGGAAACAGAGTGACATGGTGGAAAGTACATGATTTCAGCAGAAGATTCAGACTACATAATGACAGGCTAAATATTCACTCTGACCCTCATCAGCTGATCTTTCTGACCTCAAATTCCAGCTTTGCACAAGAAGAAGAACTGGATCAAATAGGACAATATAGGGTCAAGGGAAAAAAAGATGTAGAAAATTATAGAAGGTAATATAATTATATGGAATAATTATCAGGAAAATGAATTACAGTATCACCGTCCTAAGACAGAATCCATTGTTGTCAGGGTCTCTCCCAAGAAGCTGAATGGTACTAACTCATAAAACTTCTTACAACTCAAAAGGATCTCACTAAAGTCTGAGGAGTCCCAAACACCACCATAATGGTTTCTACCCTTTTCTTTCAAATAAGATAAAGCAACAGCACAGAAAATACAAGATTAAAGATTTCATTAAAGATCTCCATTAAAGATTTGGAAAAGTGAAAAAAAAGCCCCCAATTACAGACTACGGAAGAGTAATTCAGGGAAGCTGATTTTCAAAAGGACTAAGAGTTGGAAAAGGACTATGACTCTATCCAAGGAAAACAGGCCTGCCTTTATGTCCATTTCAAAAAAAACAGGAATTCCTAGTAACATAACTTTATAATATGCCAACTTTTTTTTAAGGTAAGGTGTGAGCAGGTTTATTTTAGCACTTTCCAACTTTTTAAGTATGTTATAGTATTTTAATACATCTGTCTTCCTGAGATTATTTATAAGTTAACCCACCCCTGCCAAGAAACATTAAAAGGGCTTTGTTATTGCTTGGACAAAGGGAAGGAACAGAGATGTTCTACTGTGGCTGCAATAAAAAGAAAATCAGGAAGAAAAACTGGAAGTGGGAGAGAGCAAAGGGTGCAGCATGGCCAAGTAGCTACAGTAACCACCTAACAAATAACACCATTGATTCAGGGAAGGCTTGGTATCAAAGCCAGTGCTCTCTACCTGGACACAACAATGCCTCACGTACACAATCCCAACAGGTTGCACAAAAATGCATTACAGAGAGGGCCAAAGGTGGAGTGCTCGTAGGGTACTAATTCATTAACAGGTAGATAAAACTGAAAAATTATTTAAAGACAGAACCAGAGAAATTATCCAAAATGTAGTCCAGAGATCTAAAGAAATAAAAAGTATAAGACCCTGGGGTGCAGCTCAATGATAGAATGCTTGCGTAGCATGTGTGAGGCCTGGGATCAATCACTAGAACCATTTAAAAAATAGAAAAATATGAATATTCTTATTAAAAACATTTAAATAACTAGATGGAGGTTAATAAGAGTAAGGAAAGGGGCAAAATTCAAAGTGATAAATGGTGAAAAATTTCCAGAGTTATTGAAAGAGACAAAACCTCACAGTCAAAAATGCCAAAAATGTCTGAGAAATAAATTTTAAAATTTCAAGTGTAGGACAATCATATCAAAATGTGGATTACTAAGGGAAGAAAAGAAGGTAGTAAGAGCAGGCAGGAAGAAAAGACAGATCACTTCCACAGGAAATACACTTGCCTGCTCTGAAAATACCCAGCAAAAACTGTCTAGCATGACATACGAGGCAGTAGTTCTGTGCAAGGAAAGAATTTTGCAGAACTGAAAGAGCTGCCTTACCAAAAAGGAAGACCAAGAAGCCTGACATGGCCTGACAGTCTCTTCCAATGATGGCCACAGAATATCTCCCATCCCACACAATCTTCATAAAGAAGACACTGACATACCCACATGGAGAGACAAAGTCTATGTTCTGTCCCAATGGAACTGGATGGGTTTTTGTGACCATTTCAACCAACAGACAGGGCAAAAGTAAGGCTAATGACCTCTGAGGTTAGGTCATTAAAAAGCAGTGCCTGCATTTAGTGCTAGAATATTCACTCCTGAAACCCATGGGTGCTCAAAGCCATTCTGTATCAAGATATTGTAAACAAGCCCAAACTAGGCCACCCAGAGACCAGATGGACAGGCCCTAAGACCATACAAGGACACAGGGAAACAGGTGGCAGGGAGTGAGAGAAGGGAGGTGGGAGAAAATGAGAGAGAAGACCTAGGAAAGGGAGAGAGCCATATCTGACCAGCCTCGAACTATTTTAGATCTATAATGTTCCTGCTGTACCATGTGATTGGAACTTCATGAGAAACCTGAGGTTGTACAACCCATCCAAATGCTTCTCCATTTCCTGACCCACAGAAACTTGTAAATATTAAAATGACTGCAGCATGTGGATTTAAAAATAGCTAAGTTTGGGAGCAACTTGTTACACGGCAGTAGAGAACTGGAACATTTAAACTGCCAAGGGGCAGCTCTCTAGGGACTGCGTGAGAATGCCATCAATCAATTTCACAGAATGAGATCATCCGACACTTTCCGGCATCCACAAACATTTGACACACTTAAGATCCTACATGTGTGAAACATAGGAATCTTCCTTAATCGCAGTTCCTAATATAACTTATGGCTAAGGATAATTATCTTATTTTAGACCTCTTCAACGTACAGTGCCTTCTGGAACTACTGTACAAAATTAAAGAGAATCACAGTGACACACTGGAGGTATCACTGTATATATGCATTATTACTACTATTTGTTAGCCAAGCAATTCAAGCATGAAATTTCACACATGAACTTACCCCCTTTCCTCCTGACTTCTGGTCAAATGGTACCATGATGATCTGCTTGGAATCTCGCTGATAGGTACAGTAGTGCTTCACCCAAGAAGTTCCAAAGTGACCTGCAAGGTAAACTTCCCATTAAGCATCTATGCCACACGTGTCCACTGTAGGCTGCACATAAGTAACTGCAGAAACATACAGCCCGTAATGCTCATGCACCCATACGCTGTTTTAGGGGCAATGTATTTTCCACATCCGCTAGGCAGAAATAGACAGAAATCTGATCCCACAGGCTGGAAATGGAACCAACCCAAGGCTTTCCTCCAGAGACTCATAAACACTATTCCCACCACTGCTATATCCAGTGGGTCTTAAAATAGAAGGGAAGCAGAAATTCCCCGGGGAAACTATAGTGCATATTCCCATCATCAATCTCCATTCTTTTCTCTGCAGGAGTGAGACGATCGAAGAAAGAACACAGAAAGGCTTCTCCAAGCGTCTGTCACCATTCCCATGAGAGGCAATGACATCATGCTTCCCACACAGCTGCGTGGAGGCTCTGACATCAGGGGTTCTGATCTCCTTCCAAATCCCTCATTTTTAACTTTAGCGGAAGTAAAAAAGTATCTAAATAGAAGACAAGCCAGCCTCGGAGACACCAGAGATGCAGAATGGAAGTGACTGTAAAATACCCAAATGCAATCGGGTATTTTGTCTCACAAAACAAGACTCGGGAATTAGGGAGACAACATAGAGTCAAAGTTTAACGAAGTCTCTGATTTTACTCAGTGTTTGGCCAATTCCTTTATTCTGAACAGCGAAATAAAATGACTAGAAAAGCATTAACAGTCTGCAAGGACCTCAGTCAATACTAGTTTTAGATATTAAGAGACCCCACACAACAGAAATGGTTAAAATGTTTGAAAACATCGCCAGCAGACATTTATTAATTATCAATGGTATGGCATGAATGCCAATTGCAAGTATTTAACAAGCTTATTAAGCAACACATAAGGGTTTACATTGGGACATCAAGGACAAATGAAAATACAAACCATCGAACTGTACTCTTGTAGCCTAGGGAGAAAGTTCACAAAGATTCCAGAAATGCTTTATCTTGGATGAAACAAAGTAAGATAATCAAGATAAAATAAGATCCAGAATCAAGGAGGGAGGACACTTCTTCACAGTGCAATGAAAGGCAACTCTGGATGTCCTGCGAGTGGTGGGACCAGAAAACCAGTCTGCAGCCATCATAGCAAAGATCAAATTAGGTCAGGATCACCAAGGACACTAAATCTGTGCAACGAAGAGCATGACAAAGAGAAGAATATTTATATGATCTTACACTGCCTCCCACAGATTCCTGGTTAGTTACAAGGGAAACCAGTGACTGCATAGTGAAGAAACACAAAAAATACCTTGCCTGGGTGATCAAAATGAATAATACTATCAAGGAACAGATGGGCACCACATGCCTCAGAATGTGGCCCAAAGAAGAACACAGAGCTACTTATGTAGGACTGAGCAAGAGTGCATAGCCCAAATCTAATCATGAGGAAATACCAGACAAACTCAAGCTGAGGCGACTTCTAGAAGGGAACTGGACCATGTTCTTCAAAAGGTCATTGTCAAGAAAGATACAGGCTGAGAAACTGTTCCCAGGATAAAGTGGTGACAACTAAAGGCAGAGTGCGTCTCTACTAGAGGAAACCGAAATGCTGTATGGAAACATTACTGAGACAACTGGCAAAACTGAAATGCAAGCTGTAGTTTAAATATTGCAACAACATTAAGTGTCCTGGCTGTGATTACTTAAAAGAATATCTTGTAAAAAATACCCACTGAAGTAAAAGAGCATGGTATATGCAACCTGTTCTCGAACATTCGGGGGAAAAAAGTATGTGTGAAAAGGTGATGTGCATATATCCACCTATACAGAGAAAGAAAAAAAAATCATGTAATTGTGACCAAATGCTAAGAAGTGGTGAATTTGGGTAAAGTCATACAGTTGGTCCTTCTTCATACTTCCAATGACAGAATCATGAACTTCTCAACTTTTCCATAAGTTTGACACTTTTTCAAAACAGTAAATTAGAAAAAATATTAAGACAAAAAAAAAAGCTGGACCCCAATGAAATGTTCTGGACTACTTGTTGTGTTAGAGAACAAAAGAGTGGTTCCGATGATAATCTACAAGATGTCAAAAGCCCACATCTGAACAAAACATGAGAGTTCAAAAAACGAACACTGATTTTACGTATGTACGTGAATAACATTAATAAATTAAGTATTACAACGAACTACATTTTTCCATCCTGAACATTTGTACTTTCAAGTTGACCTCAAACCTTCCTCTGGGTGCAAGGTTCTCATGGGGCAAAAAGGGGATCACTTTATATTCAAAGAATGAAGTATACAGCAGAAGTGGTTTCTACTTCTTATAAACCTCTGCACACTCATCCCTGTAAGAATGAAGAACATAAAACACAGCCAATTCCCCAAACCCACTAGTGCCCCATTTTCACCGGGGAACAATGTGAAGCCCAGGCAACTTCACGGGTAATAACTAAGTAGAAACAAGCGTCTCTTCTAGAAACGAAGCAGTAAAGATAACTGCTTAAGAAGAGGACCCCCCCACCAAAAGACTGCAAAACCAGCACACACCTGGAGGAGGAGTATGTTTCCTCCTAAGGAAGCGTGGCAGGAGGCTAAAAGAAGTAGCTGTAAAAACATTCAATTTCTGGGGGCTGGGGGTTTAGCTCAGCGATGCTGTGGCTGCCTTGTAAGTGCAAGGTCCGAAGTTCAATCGCCAGTATCAAGAAATAATAATAATAACAACATTCAGTTTCTGACACTGTGAGCATGAGTTAAATCCAGAAGTGCTGCCCTCCACAGCACAGCCCCATCACAACACTTTTGTATAGCTCTAAGCCACGAATGTGTGAGTCACCACTAAAAACCACCTTAGCAGCACCCGGCATTTCTTTCTCGGACATCATTGTCAGCAGGGGAAATGGGTCTTTTTGTGGATGCTCGGGTGACCTTTGGTTTCTACTTTTCATAAATTTAAATACTGAGGGTGAAAAGAGCTATGCAGCAAGGGAAAAGGGCCTAAGGCATGACTGGGCTCAGCTGAGAACAGCACCGCCAAATATCAAGTCTACCAAAGAGCACGACTGCTGATAGAGAAGATCCAGCATATGTGACTACCCACTGCTACGATCAGGGTAGCTACTACTCTGAGGGCAGAGAGTGCTCAAGAGGACAGGGACGGTAGGGGCAAAGAGCAACCACAGATTCCCAGGGATTACCAGGTTCCCAGGGGAGCTGCCAGCCACAAGAATATAAAAGAAAACAGAACGTGTCACTCGGAGGCATGAAGACTCTGTAGACGTCATCTTTCTCATTCAAAACTATCACATGAATGACTCTCACTCACCTAGGCATGGACACACAGCAGCCAAGCACTACCAAGGACACGCTCCACCTTCCAGACAGAGGGTCTGAAGGTCTGAGCACGTCCCGGCTACAGCTGAGCAAAGCACTTACGTTTCTCCTGAACGTAGAGGTACCCTTCCATGGTGTATGGGCTGATGGTCTTGTGCTCCAGGGGGTTCTCCTTCATCTTCTTCATCAGGGATTCCACTTCTGACCTGGTGCCTTCAAAGCGGTTTCTTGTCTAGGATAAAAGGAGTTTTACTCAAAGCATAGAAATGGAATCTCTGTGTAACAATTCAGAAGATCGATCTAATAAAATCCTTAGATCTAAAACTGGCTCAGGAACATTCAACCTTCTAGGAAATGGGCCAACATTCACTTCAAACAAGTACACTTTGGTCTGGAAGGCCTAAACCTGAATGACTCTCAAAAACTAGCAACCATCAAAATCACCTAGAGAACTTAGAGAAAATGCAAATGCCCAGGCCTTGCTCCTAGAGATTAATTTAGAACCTTTGGACCCAGAAACATGCATCTTAATCCCAGATGATTCTCTGACTCATATGGTCCAAGGACCTTTAAGCCTTAAGAACTGATGTCTCTGCTTCTCCAGCTACAGGGAATGATGCTCACTGATAGCTCACAGATGGGCTCCTTCTCAAGCGGGAGCTGCTGTACTCAAAGTCACACCTTTACCCAGGGCAGCCTGTAGCTCCTGACTTCTGTACCAGCCCTTTTCGAGGGCCCACTCAGCCTCACAGTCCCACAGCACTGACTGAGGCATCTACAGTACAGGTCAACTCCTCCTACCATGCTCCATGCTCATTCTTTCAAAGGAGTCTTTGCTGGCTTCACCCATTTCCAACACAGAGTAAGCCTACTGCATGCAAATCTGCATTTCAGAGACTCCATTTCAAAAGAAGCCAGCCTAAGGGAAGTCATGCTGCTGCAGAACCATTTCTGAGACTGCAACTTCCTGTTCTCTGGGATAACGCAGAGAACCATGTAAGCTTCAGACTTCTACAGGCCATGCAATACAACTTTCATAGAAACATTTGGGTATTTCCTACACGAGAGCACCTAGAGATGACATGCAGGCCAACATGGTCCACCATTCACTGAACAGGGACTGGAGTTCTGCTAAGCACTGAGCAAACACTCTAAACAAGAGTCTGTGCATCCAGTGTTTAAAAGATCCAGTGTTTAAAACATGGGAGAGAACACTGGGAGTGAACCACACTGACTTGGACTTCCTGTCACCTTTTCTAAGCACTAAAAGCACATCCTCTGCACCAGAGGTCAGCGTGTGTCCCCAAAGCTATTCCTCGAGTACACATTCTAAGGTTTCCTATAGCCAGGCAGCTAGATGCAAAGACGGAAGGCAGAGCCAGGGTGGGATGTCCACTGCCAAAGGAAATCCTGACTGGTGGGACAGATTTAAAGCACAATCAGCAGCAGCAGCAGCACTTACGGGAACATAATGGAGAAGATAATGATCTGACCTACATGATGGTCTAACCCACAAAGCACTAACGAAATGCCCATCCCCAGCTGCCCTCTGAACCTGAGCAAGACCCAGCCTCTGCGCCTAAATTCCAGTCCACACAGGGGGAGTCACTGGCAACTAGACCCAGAGTTTGCTTTTTCCTTCCCTTAGCCACAAAAGGGAAGCCTGACCCTATCCCTACTCACGTTCTGTATGCTAATGGTCAGCTGTGTCTTGAAGTCCCCAAAATCCTTAGCCAGTTCATAACCATGGTGATAGAAGGTAAAGAGTCCTTGCAGGAAGGCCAGCAGCTGTAAAAAAGGAGAAAAAGCAGAGGTCATATGTGCGGGCTGAATGCTGTGCCTGAGTTCCCACACTGATCTGAATGTCTACACCAGAGCAGCACCCTGGCTAGCATTTACCAAGCTCCAAACAGGCACTCGCTGTTCCACGCTTTCTCTTACTGAATACTTACAACAACTGTGAGCTACATGTTACTATTATCCATTTTAATAATGAGGAAGCAGATTAGAGAGGTTAAGGAACTTCTTCCAAAACACACAGTAAGTAGCAGCTGAGAGCAAATCTAGGTCTCCTTGGCACGAATACCCACGCATTTAGCCCGTGAGCTTCATCATTCCCTAAGGACATTATTTCTTGAGAAACCAAGAACCGGGGCTCAAATTCAGTTTCTTTCTGTACATGTGTAATATCAGGTTATCACACAAAAAAGGAAGGTGGTGTATTCAGAGTCTGCAGCCTACCGAGCAAAGTGAAATTAAAGAGAATGATCCACATTAGCCTTGAGCTGAGGTGTATTTTTGAGCTTTCGCTAAACTATTCAAAAGTAAATGCTATGGATTCCTTTATTAAAACAGTCCCCTATTTTCAGCTATGATGGTTCCCCTGAATTCTCATTTAAATCCCCTTGGGCTAAAAGGTAAGTTCGTCATTGTTCAGTTTTGTCCCTAGTGAATACTGTAAACATCTGTTCACCACAATTCTTCTAATGTTCCTTCGTATTCTCAAAAGCTGTCCCCACTCTGAGCCCTTGCCAGCCTTTGCTTCTCCAAAATAAACAAACAATCCTGCAGTCTTTCCTCTCAGAGCTGGAACCCAAGTGTCTCGGTTCCCGTGTATTCCTGGCTCCTTCCTAAGTCTCCCACATCTTGCCTCAGTTCCAAATTTCAAAGAAAAAAACACAAAACATGGTCGGGAAGGATCAGGTCCCGAAGCCGTCACCGTTCAGCTCTCCCACGTGTGGGGACCAGCCCCTATCTTCAGCTTCTGAAGTCTGACTCCCATTTTCTTAGCGGTCTACAATGACCTCCCTGAATTACCTCTATCGCATGATATCCTAAGACACGTTTACTTGGTGTCATATGATTGTATTTGGTTTTCGGTCCCTCGATGAACACATCTTTCCTTAAACATAATTCTATCTCATTTCTTTTCACTTAACTCTGCTTCCTGAGAGGTAGTCCTAATAATGATGGGTAAGGGGTCTCATCCCACCCACCAGTCCCCTCCTTTTCACCTGCTGTGGCAAGTGTGTACCATAGTAGGTACAACCCAGAGGGCACTCTCTGCCTTCAAAGTAAACCACATGGCCAGCCCAGTTCATTAAAGAGATGTGTACTGGGAAATCCAGCAAGACCCAACTATAACAATATAGTACCTTACCTCTGCCACTGTACCCAACACATCTATCCCCTTAGATTCTTACAGGTGGTCGGGGAGCAGGCACTGCTGGATTCCCTGGCTTAAAAAAGACTGAGTGGCATCATATACATTCCTAACATAAATCAATGAATGAGTGGTAAACCACATACAGGTGCCAAAGATTAATAATGAATTTTTTTTCAAAGGTGATCAAGGCCTTTGGACTATTCCATATGAAATACTTTTCTGAGAGTGGGGCCTACACCTTTCTTTCCAGGTAGCTCCAGTAGAGAAAGGGCTCTTCTATCAAAGCTAATTCCACAATTCAGGATGAAAAGTGCTCTTTCCTTCTTCTCATCTGTGACCTCCCTGCAAACTGTAAACTCTGTATGCCAAGACTTTCCAAAGCACTAGGCCACTCCTCTGCTTGAGAATAATGCAGAAGATAAAGAGCTAAATAAATTCTAAGGTTATTCCTCCTGTTAACTCTTATTTTCCTTATCTTGGACTTCTCTTCCTTCCAAACAGCTCACTAAAATGCCTCCTGGGCATATGCTCAAGTGCTCCAGAGGCAGACAGTGACTAATATTTATTTTGAGTTTTACTTTGTTTGCCTTGATTGTCCATTTCTCTGCAGAAAATGATCCCTTAAATAAATGTTATTTTTGGCATACTTTCCCTTCTCACAGCATCCATTTCCACCCCCAGCCCTCCATCCTCCCCCCACTTAGTGCATGAACCCTCGAACCTATGACCCAATGGGAAGTGAAAGTCCAGTCCTTAGGGGACAGGGTGAAGCCCACAGAAGGACTTCAGACGTGGGCGGATCCATCTGCTTCAAAGACATGCTTCTACTCAAACACAGTGAGGAAGAGCTTGTTGTAGCCCCATGTGATTATACAGTGAGAGGGGTCAGTTCCTTCACCGCAGTTACCACAAAAATCACAAAGGAAAGGCCTTCCCCACCAATCTCTGCGCTCTTCCCATGACTACAAGCAAAACCTATTAGCTGCCTGACAACTATTTATCTTTTTTTTTTTTTTAAGCAAAAATGGAACTGCTTGAATTAGCGCTGGCTGGCTGCATCATTCTGAACTACCTGATAAACTCGGATGTCGACATTCATAGAATAGAATTACTGTTATGTGCGGAACTGTGCCCTGTAAAATGTGTGTCAAAGTCCTAATCCTCAGTGTCTTAGGGTGTGGCTTAATTTGGAAACAAGGTCTTTACAGAGGTAACCAAGTTAAAATAAGTTCATTAGGGTGGGCGCTAATACTTCTATAAGAATAAATACCAAATAGTTTCCCTGGTGTGAATATTCTGCAACAATGCATAAGATTCTAATAAGATTACTGACATTTAGAAATGGGAGGAAAGGAGCTAAAGGTGTAGGGAAGGTGTGATACGTAGGGGAAGAACAAAAAGGGAAAAGAAAAAAA